TTTTTTTTTTTTTTTTTTTTTACGTTTTTTATTTATTTTTGGGACAGAGAGAGACAGAGCATGAACGGGGGAGGGGCAGAGAGAGAGGGAGACACAGAATCGGAAACAGGCTCCAGGCTCCGAGCCATCAGCCCAGAGCCTGACGCGGGGCTCAAACTCACGGACCGCGAGATCGTGACCTGGCCGAAGTCGGACGCCTAACCGACTGTGCCACCCAGGCGCCCTGTGTTGTTACTTTTTAATTTTACGCTCATAATGAACAGGAAGTCAATTAGAAATACGATGGTTAGGTTAGGTTTCTTTTACCCTTTCAATCAGGACTTTCAGATGACAGTCCCCTGGCTCCACATTTAAATTTTTGGCAGTGGGTTTTATGTTAAGACCTTCTGTGTCCTGTAACACTGCAAACTCCTTTTTGGTATTCACATTATAAATTACGAACTTGGCACCTAGGACCTATCCAACAGTGGGAAGTGCTGATGCCTATCGAGGTGGACTTTTAGCACTGCAGCATAATAAATGGTGGGAAATACTGATGTCTGTCAAAAAGTCTGTACAGGAAAGCTGTAAAGGAAGTGTTCAATTTCAGCAATCCATTTTCCAGAATATTTTGGTACTTCAGAGCCATAAGGCTAAAAGAGGACCTAGGACCAGAGTTCTTCAACCTTCCTCTGCCCTTAGAACTAGTCTTTAGTCTCCAGCTGCGCCCCCCCCCCCCCCCCCCCCCCACATTAATTAAATACCTAGTTAGCATCTACCATGTAGGAAATACAGATGGGGCATGAGACATAATCCTTAAGGAACTTATTATATATTGCTGATTGAGAAAGTACAACTAACAAATTTTAGGACAGGCTAACAATAAAAGACAGGTTTTTCCAGTGATAAACTAGATGCTTCAAACTATAAGGGGAGTTAGATTTAGAGAAATGTTTTTTGGGTTTAATTTTAATTTCCCCAAAGTTGTCATTTCTTTTGTAATATTCTTCTCTGATCATCCTTTTTTAGCCCCTTCTCAGTTGTGCTTCCCCGTAAGCAGCCATCCAGCTATGCTTCATCTTACTGCAAAATTTCCCATAAAGAAACCCTGTGTCCACTGCCTCTGATCCCCAACCTCCTTATCTCACTGCACTCTAGTTTCCGTCTCATAGTGTTCTTCCTTGCAGTTCTCTTTGCTCTTGACCTCTCTCGCCCTCTTGGTTTTGCTCTCCCTTCTCTCACAACATTGCTAACTCCCTTTTGATTTCATTTCTCTCTCTACCTGCCCCTAAAACAGAGGCCTTCCCCTAGGTGCTCAGTCAGTAGTTCCTGTAGCTCTACCCTGTCTCCCTGGGTGACTCTTTCCACCCCCAGAGCTTCAGCTATCACCACTGCACAGATGTTCCCAAATCCACATTCTCTCAAGGCCTGAACTTCTAGCTGCCAGTTGTTCTTCATGTAAAAGTCTGTTAAGTACATCAAACAAAAATGTCTAAAAATAGAGTTCATTTAAAAACATGTTTTATTATAAGAATTTTCAGATATAAAAGTTGAATACAAATATAAAATTTGTATACATCCTCCACCAGATTTAATGTTTATGAACATATTGCCACAGTTGCTTCATCTATCCCTTTTTTTCCTGAAGTACTTCAAAGCAAATATCAGATATCATGATCCTAAATTCTTCACTATGCATCTCAAAATATAAGATCATTATTCATCTGTAGCTTCCATCATTATTGATCAATACCATCCAGTATCTGCCATATTCAGATTTCCCTAAATGTCCTCATACATTTGGTTAGAATCAGAATCCAGCCGTATCCATATGTTTAGTTGTTACGGCTCTTTTAATTAGAAACCATCTTCCTTTTTCCCTCCATGCCATTATCTTGCTGAAGATACAGTCATTTCTCTGTTAGTTTTCAGATCTTTCCTTTGGCCACATTGAGTTTGATAAGATTGATGTCTGGGGATCCTGGGTAGCTCAGTTGGTTAAGCATCCAACTTCAGCTCAGGTCATGATTTCATGGTTTGTGAGTTCGAGCCCCAAGTCAAGCTCTGTGCTGACAGCTCCAAATCTGGAGCCTGCTTCAGATTGTGTACGTCTCTCTCTCTGTCTGCCCCTCCCCCATGCCTGCTCTGTCTCTCTGTCTCAAAAATGATAGGATTGATGTCTCTTACAGCTATACTTCCCTTTCTGAACATTTATTTATTTTGAGAGAGAGAAAAAAATGCACACATGCAAATGGGGGAGGGGCAGAGAGAGAGGAAGAGAGACTCTCAAGCTGGCTCCGTTCTATCAGCACAGAGCCTGATATTGAACTCGATCCCACCTACTGTGAGATCATAACCTGAGCTGAAGTCAAGAGTTGGTTGCTTAACCGACTGAGCCACCCAGGCACCACTTTACTTCCCTTTCTAAACACTGCCTGGGCAGAGGGCAGGCCTCATATGTTGCCAGCACTTTTACAAAAGCTGCCTTGCGTTAGTCTCCCTACCTTTGAGTTATAGCGAACTTACTTTTTTCTCCATGTTGACCCCAGGATTGGATGATTTCAGGGCTTCCAGGAAAGCCTTTATTGCTTCCTCATAACCCACAGAACACTATCAAAATTTCATAGTTCATTACCTGGTCCCAGATTCCTTAGCTTAGCATTAAAGACATTTTATAATCTATCCTGGCTTAATTCATAAATATTTTATGCTTCAGCTACATTGAACTTCTTGTTGTACTCTGAGTTGATTTATGTGTCCGAATGTCCCACCTGAACCATGAAGTTCTCAAGGGCAGAAATCACTTTATATATGTTAGCTTCTGTAGCAGTTGGCACAGTGGTTGACATATAGTAGGTACTCATTAAATGTTGATGAATTAATGAAGTGCCTTTTCTTCCCCATATTTCATTACAGCTCTCAAGAATTTTATATTCCAAACATTTCCCAAAGGTGTCGTGTACTTTCACATCTGTATATATTCCTTCAAGCTTTTCTGTGAACCTGAAAAATCTGCTCCCCTCCATTCTCTACCTTTAGTACATTTCATTCTAGTGCATAAGTAATTAAACCATGTGCTGAGCAATTTACCTGAGAGAGCTGAGAATACATCAAGTGTATGATACAAATACTATGATTAGTCTCATTTCTTACAAGTAAGAAGTATAAGTAATGAACCAAAGGTCCAGACCGAGACATTAGCAGTTGTGGGATTTCAGCCCAGCTCTGACAAACTCAGAAGCTTCTGTTCTTTCTTGACCAATCAACTGTTAATTGACTTCACAGACATTGTCAGACTGCTTTCTACAGAGCTGTATTGGCATATATTACCACTAGCTTGTAACACAGTCTTATAAAAATTATTAATACTTATTAGTGTTTACTAATTGGACAGGTGAAAAGTGATGCCTTATTATATAAGCAGATTGTTTCTCAAGCCCTCTGCATATCTTGTCTTTGTTAAAGTATATGTGTTTTCTGCTCTGTAACCCTCTCATTGGATAAGCTTTGGTGACATGGGGAATTTAATGAGATTATATGAAATTCTACTTGAATTTATGAAAGCATAATTACCATTTATATATATATATGTATATATATTACATATATATGTATAAAATGTATTTCTAAAGCTATAGTTTTACCAAAAGCTAATGGTAAAACGCATGTGTATATTAACTTAATTGTCATCTAATAAGCATTCACATCATATTTTGCTAACTGATCTTTATTCTGAACATGCTCATTCTGAATTGCTTTCTTGGGATGCACAGACAGTGTGTCACAAAAAAAAAAAAAGTGAAGAATAAAGGGAATTTCATCCGAAATAAACTTGTCAAATAGGGAATAGCATTTTCAATCTGTAGGAATTTCCCTTTCCACCACAGCCTACATGAGAACTGTAAATATTAGTCATAAAAACAAGACTGAAAAACAAAGAACCAAAAAGAATAAACCACAAGGAATGTTAGATGTCAATATTCTGTTAAAGATAGTGTTCAGAAGAGATGGGTAATAATCATCTGCCGCCAAGAAAAATACAGGAATTCCAAAGGAACCCACAAATGGTTTCAGAGTAGTCCCTCTTATCAGAAAAGTTATTACTGGCGTTGCGGAAAGGATTGTATTTTGGTGTCTTTGCCAAAAGATTTTTTCCCAGAAAGAAAAATGAGTAAAGTTAACATTGTTTAGAGAGAGCCTGCTGTATGACTGGCTGGGTTGAAGGTGTGAGGTGCTGGCTAGGTTGGATAGGACGTCACCCCCAGCCCCTGAGAAGCTCACAGTCCAGTAGAGAAGATGGACATTTAAAATGACGTGTCGGGGGCACTTGGGTGGGTGGCTTAGTCGGTTAAGTGTCCTTTGGTTTTGGCTCGGGTCATGATCTGTCTTGGTAAGATCAAGCCCCACGTCGGGCCCCACCCAGAGCATGGAGCCTGCTTGGGATTCTCTGTCTCCCTCTCCCTCTGCCCGGCGCTTGTTCACGTGTCCACGCAAGTGCATGCTCTTTCTCTCTCACAAAAAAGATAAATAAAACAAAGCAAAATAAAATGCAGTATGATAAGTGCATAATAACTATACTTGTGTAGCAAGTACCATAGAAGTACAGAGAAGAGAGGGAATCCCCAGAGAATGGAGTGCTTGGAGCCTGAAGGAAGAGCATATTTTTTAGACAGAAGACGAGACAGCATGAGCAAAGACAATGAGTTACAACAACCTTTTTTCAGTGCTGAAGTGATTTTTGTTTAACTTTACCCACTCCTGGCCTACAGGAAGTGGCATGGTGACAGTTCTGTTTATTGTAAAGAAAAAATTGCAATTGGAGAGAAATATTTGCATCATTCATTGACCATCAAAATGCCATAGTGGAATGTGGGAATCTTCTAGGTTCCTATGTTCAGAGTCCTGTAGGGCAAGTATGGCCCATGAGTGACTACATTCATTTACACCTCCTGTGTTTTTTCTTTTTCCAGGCATATTCTGTGTATGATGAAGAGATTGGTTATTGCCAGGGCCAGTCATTTCTTGCTGCTGTTCTGCTTCTCCATGTGAGTATTAGGTTTCTGTTACGATTTACACATGAGCTGCCTCAGCTTATACTAGCCTTAGACTTGAGCATGGTTTTATATTGGTTTTGGCCAGACCCTGGTACGTGAGTTTTGACTCCTGTATCTGGAAACCTTTACCTTAAATTAATGTAACATTGTCATGGAAGAGAAATATGGTAAGAATAAACGACAGTGTTGAAAACTAGTACAGGGTAGATTTCATTTTTATTGCTAGAATGATTGGATAGTCTTGGTTGAACTCTTAGGGACATTTTATATTCTGTAAGGTAGACTGTTCTTTAGTATTTATTTGGGGGATCTTTGTATTAGAGGTGGAAAGGAAGCAGAGAAGTTGGCTATTTTTAGTGCCATTTTATTCATTTATTTATTCAGCAAAGACCTTTACCCTCCACCTTACTGATATTCTTTCAAATCCACAGCAAAATTGAAAAAAAAGGTTAGGGTGCAATACCCATAAACTTTTTTGTTCTATTTTACCAATTAATATGTTATCACACATCTTTCTCCATCTCTATGTCTCTTTTCCTCTTTTTTTTTTGCACGCATTTTATTTTTTACCAAAAACATTTTTTGAAGTTATTTTTGGAAAATCAGTAGCAAACATCAGCATACTTCACTCCTAAATACTTGAACATGAATCTCCTAAGGACATAATCATAATACTGTAGTCACATCCAGAAATTCCACATTGATTCAGTAATGTCTTACACACAATCCACATTTGATTTTCACCAATTGTTTACTCAGTGAAGTCCTTTATAAGTTTTTTTTTTTTTTCCTAACCAAGATCAGTGACAATTCAAGCAATGCTTTTGGTTGTCCTCTTTATTTTTTTTAATCTAAACTATCCCCCCTTGCCTTTCTTGTGCTTTATGCCTTTGACAGTTTTGAAAAATTCAAGCAAGTTGTCTTGTAAAATATTCCACATTCTTGATTTGTCTGATCATTTCCTCTTGTTTAAAATTAAAATGCTTGGCAAAAATACCACACAGGTGATGTTAGTAGAGAGTTCATGGGTACTTCCATCTTTAGCACGGTAGATGCTAGAGATCAGGAGTGACTAAGGTAGACATGGTCCCAATCTTTGTGGATACAGAGCTAGTGAAGCTGACTGGTTATAAGCAGAAAGTCACACAAGCACATCATTATCTCAATGGCGCTATAAAGGTATAGTAAAAAGTTTGATGCAAGAGTATAACCAATGAGCCTTAATTTATATTATAGACTTCTCTGGAGGTAACCTTTAAGGTGAACACTGAGAAATGAGAAGCGGTATCTATCGTTCTCTGTTGTACTTGTTTGTATTGTTTAACTTTTTAAAGCTAACATTGCTAGGAAAATAAAACTATTTTAAAAGCAAGAAAGTGGAGAGTCGAGCACTCCCAGTGAAAGGAATAGTACACTACGCAGAAGCACTGAGATGGGGAAAACTTGGCATATGGAAGGAATGAAAGAAGGGCAGTGTGACTGGACCATCATGGGTGTGATGAGGAATGGGGAGGAAACTGGACAGGTCAAGAAGACCAGCTTAAGGAGGGCAGTGGAGGCCAGCTCAGGGAGTTTGGATTTTGTTTCTCTAAGTAAGGGGAAGCTTTTGAAGAGTTTGAAGCCATTTTGTATATAGGTTGTAATATGAGTAAAACCAAAAACCACTTTGTGTCTTCTTACTGTGAGAACCTAGCTTATTGGTATTAGTAAGCATGTAAAAATATCATAAAGCTGTGACATCAATAAAGAGGTCAGGTGTTTTTTTTTTT